TAGTGAAGTCTCAGCATGATAGACCTCAAAAGTTTGTCAGATAGGGTCTTCTCTGGAGGAAGCTGAGTGTTCAAAGCAGAACTAATCCAGGAAGCTTGAATCAAGCGGGGCTGGCAATGTGACCTGTAAAGACTCAGCATTCAAAACAATTATTTGCTGTGACTTTGAAAATTGCTGTTGAAAAGCAGCGCATGTGAAATCCCAAGTGCAAGAGCATAATGGTAAGTAAGTGAAAAGCGCCTGAAAGGTGAAATTTCACAAGGAGCTGTTCCTTTATTTGCCCCAAATGGAAAAATACTGATCCCTTTATTAGCAGCATACCTGGAAAATTAAAGCCCTGCTTGCACACTCCAAATATATAACTTTGGTAAGGGAAATTCCATGATGAATAGAAGTATTTAATCCATGCTCCAAACATCAATCACAGCATAATCTGAACCACACGGACAGCAGAGCAATTCCAGAAGGAGTGACAATATATCTTTATGGCTGGGTAACAGTCATAATCAGAATCAAGCCTGTTTATTTTATTCTGGGGAATGGGCAGGAATTGAGCAGTAAATTGTAAGCCTCAGATCCCTTAAAGGATAAGCTGCAAGGACTTTCCCGAAGTGAAAAGGGCCAGCGACTTTAAAACATGCTCAGAACTCACCACTGGGGCCAGATTTTCAGAAGAGCACAGTTCCCATTCAGAACATTTCACTACATGGTGAACAACTTCAGTTCAGAAGGGGGAAGAAGTCTAACATTGTTAAGATAAAGATTTTTCTACCTCTTTAAAACATAAATGGAAGGAACATCATCTTAATAGCCTGAAAAAGTTAAGCAGTAGATAAAGGACCAATTTCTCTTCCTAGAGGCATATGAATCATCTTTGAGATTCAGTTGTCCCTATGCATGTGTATTTTCTATCAGCCTGTAGTGTCTGAGAGGAGACAGTTCTACCACACAGCATGTAACTCACTACAGCTCAAAACAATGAACAACAAAGTATTCACCAATATACAAGTTAGTCATGATGTTTCAGCCCAGGGAATACAAATAAGGTGAAGGAGGATTCAAAAGTTATTTTATGTATCTTGTCTCTGCAGCAATAAAACAATTTTTTAAAAAGATTCCTGTATCTAGAGCAGGGGTTCCCAACCTGGGGTACGCATACCCCCAAGGGGTACGAGCAGCTTGACAAGAAGGTACAGGGAATATTTGGTAAATAACTAGATTATCCCAATTGAAATATTCCAAAAATAGTAGTGTTAGTGAAAAAAGTTGTGGATTCTAGAGTCTAGAATGTATTTCCTTCCATATTTAATTGGGGGTTCGGGAAGGTTTGCTAAAAGCCAAGGGGGTACGGGGACCAAAAAAGGTTGGGAACCCCTGATCTAGAGGAAATGACAATACCTCTACAAGTAGAAAGTGAGAACAATGAAGGAGAAAGAAAAGGGAAAGCCAACTTTTCAAACATTTAAATTCACACAGAAAACTAACAAAAGCATTTCCAAAGCACCCATCATTTTAGTATTTAAGCGCCTAGTACCAAAATGAAGAACCTGCATCAAATTTCATTTATTAAATTACAAAATGTAAACTGTAGCAAGTTTTATTTTATTCCAAAACAATAATCCTGAGAACCACAGATCAACTGACTGCATTTAATCTAAGCCTCAGTAGTTAAAACAAAAATAGGGTCTAAAGTCAAGCAGTCTGATATGATGTTCAAGTCCAGAAAGACAGGAGCCGGAGATGGTGGAGGGGCCATGAACAATTGTTTGAAGTCACCAGATAAGCCACAGAAATGCACAATATCAGATTTCAAGGAATTGATTATACAGTCACACACCTTAAGGCAACCTTGACTGAGGACTATTATGGATGGCAGAAGTGTAGAAGCAGTGAGTAACACATTCTGTTTGAGAAGAACTGTCATTTAATATTGCCATAGTTTCTGGGAAACTAGTGTACTTATTTGTTAACACTTTCACCACTTATGACTGATAAAAAATGCTTCACTTAAAAAAAAACCCACAACCATCTTGAGGCAGGCATGTGTAAGAGTATAAGGAATATCTGCTGCAGAGGTTTTGAATTCAAAGATAAGTCAGTCAAAATACAACTTATCAAGTATGCTTTTCAAGCTGGAAATCAATTACAAATGTTGCCACTCTAAATATTTTGACCAAGTTTTGTAAAAGGAAAATAAATTATACAAGGAAGTGAATGTGTGTAAGAAAATGAGTTTGCAAGCAATCTAAATATAGATTTACTTTTTAAAGTTACCATACAAACATAACTGAAATTTAAACGTATGTACAGTCACATTCTTCATTTGGAGAGCATGTACACACACATATTATTAAGCTGTTTCCATATTTAGAATTTCAGTAATTTTCTTTATAAAGGAAATAAGGTAACAGGTGGAAGAGGAGGAAGATGTTTTAGGAAGAAATTGCCATTAATTAGTCACATAGCTGGGGGAGATGGATAAAAAAGTTACAGGAAGAGATTAAAAAGAGAATGTTTAGTTGCCAAATATTCAGTGTGCAGCTTGCAGTATTAGCTGATATTTTAGAATGGGGTCTTTTTAAAAAGGAAGCTGTGCAGTAAGACACAAAACTTTTGAAAAATTAAAATGCAATACACTTTCTTTACTGTGCTCATTTTTAAATTTGAAGAAAAACGTAACTCCGCATTTGAAATAAAACATATCAGTTTATGAAGGAATAAATTAGTACTCAGACATACTGAACCGTAGCAAGGATGGTACAAGAGCTAACAGCAATTCTCAAAAAAAACACCACACCCCAAATCTCTTACTATGTATTCCTACCTCTTTGACAGTGGTCGTGAGTCCAGCAGCGTTCATTGAAGATGCCATTTATGACCGTAGATGGGCAGTTGCTTTTTCCTTTCACAGTGCCTGGACACACATCTCCACACTCTTTGTCATCCTTGTTGGCATCAAGGTCATTGTCTTCCACAGAGTCTAAAATCCTAGACCAGTCAATTGTGGACAAATAACACAGTTCATTGTTCTTCTCCATCCGGACTGCACCTCGAGTAATGTTCATCAGGTTATAAAGGCCAATCTCTTTCAAGTGAACCATCTCAAAAATGACCAGAGCATAGTTGAAGAAGAGATGAGTTCCTCGAATCACAGTGAGGTTTGGGAAAAGCCCCTTTAAACTCTCTAGCCCATATACCCGAAAGAGCAGTAAATAGTCTGTAATCATAGTCAATTTGGGAAAGCTGAACTCACGGAAATCTTCAGGCTTGGTTTTAAACATCAGCAATATTTGCAAGTGGCCCTCAATCACAGTGCAGTTCTCAAGCATATTCAAACGTGTCAGGTTATTTCGAATGTCCATGCTCCCGCAAACTGGAAGGCAAAAGGAACAGAAATAAGTAAGTGACAGCCTTCTAAAAAAATTATGTTCAACCACTTGTACAATACACCGTAGTGTCAGTTCATGACTGGGTACATTTCAAACCAGTAGGACTTAAGTACTACAAAATACTGCAGGGAACAATCCTGCACATATATGCCTATCGCTGTGGACTGGAAGACGTTCATAGGTCTTTGTCATCTGCGAGATATAGGGTTTTGTTTGCTGTGAACAGTGTCCATATTGAAGTAACAGTATTTAGACAGCCACTTGGCATTCACAAGAGATGAATAAACATCTATTCAGCAGAGGATATTTGGCACGTATTTAAAGAGAACACCATGCCTACATTTGGCAGGTTATGCCATTAATAGAAAAGGATTTAATGGGAGTAATTGGGCAACATGGCATTTTCTACAAGTTATTGAGGAAGTGAAAGAAATTTTGTGAAAATAAAAGAGCACAGACTATACTCTAGTTTGGCCTTCATTGAGGGGGTAATAATGATATTTCTACCAACAACTGAGAACATGAGGCTAAGTATTCCTTTTACATTACAGGTTATATCTCCCTAAACCGAGCCTCCCTGGTCCAGCTGGACCGCGGATACTCCTGGACCACAGCAGGATGGCAGCAGCTGGAGAGCACTGGTCCTGGAGACCCCCGGTCCTGGAGACCCCCAGCTAGGCCAGGACCCAGCTAGCAACAGGGAAAGGCCAATATCAGGGGACCTCCCCTGGTCTGGCAAATCCCCTCATTCGCAACCAGTTAGGTCCCAAGGGTGCTGGACCAGGGAGGCCAAGCCTGTAATTTATTTTGTTTTTACATTCCAAGGTTGGAAACGTTTTCCCTGAAATATCTGGTTAAGCATTTTATTCAACAGAATCAATAATCCAGAGAGAAAATTAACAATATGAATGATCATACATGGCTCAGATTGGAAGAAGTAAAACAGAGAAACATAAGACCAGGCACCAATGAAATACGGAACCAAAGAAACATGGGTGTATTTACAACTTTAGACACTGAAAAAAAATTCACCAAGAGATCAACTGTATCAGTTGGTACAGGACTGAGCAACAGAGCAAAACTTACAACTGACTGTCTTTTTACAGCACCAGGTTGAGAACCATAGTATCAAAACCCAGACTATCCACTGAAAAAGCCTACTCCTGAAATAAAATGTCTAGCAAAGCCAGAAAAAAACCCATTGCTGAAGTTATCCACCCAGCTATTGTATCAGAGTTCAAGCCTTCTGTCTAGCCACACTGCCAAGTGAACAAACCAAGCATAGGTTCTAATTTTGAATCTTTAGCTCAGTCCATCTCACCCCAAGGCAATAGGGGAGAGGATGCAGACACACAACCCTTGCTCTGATTCTTTTTTCCCTTTTCAGTCATTCCTGGCTGAAACTGTATTGATAACTACTCTGTTCCCTGTGACACAAGCTCTGACTCACCTGCACAGAATATACAAATGCACCACCTTGTTCTTAAAATCAGCTTTCCTGGCCAACTAGACATTTCAATCTCAAATCAAAGTTATTGTCCTTGTCTTTCTTCCCCTCTAGGCACTTGCTCCAGATGTTGTCAAAAGTCTCTCTAGACCTCTCTTCACCCCAGTATTCTTTTAGCACCATCCTACTCTGCCCTTTTACACAAACTTTCAACTGTTAATGCAAAATTATTCTCTCTACCTGTAACACCATGCTCTCTAGAACATTCTCCCTGAATCTCTTCCCCTCACTAACTCTCAATTGCCTTGCTAGTCTCATTGAAAAATTCCCCTCCCCCCCCCGCCTCCAATCACGGTCATCTGGAATACAGTTTGTATGAACACTACATAAATAAATTGTGTATTATATTGAATTCTATAGGGAACCAGTATTTTCCATTGACTATTACAATGTCAGACCAATCTAGGGATGTTGAATGGTTTACCAGTAAACATACTGGAATGTTTACTGGTTAACCAGCCCTTGCCAGTGAACTCCAGCACAACCGGGAAGCAGATGTACCCATTGAGGGGACAGCAAGCCAGGTACCAGGACCCACGTCGAAAAGGTTAGCCATTATAATATTCCTAGAGCAATTACCTATCTATCAAACTATGTAAACAACAATGCTAAAACTAAAACAGTTATTAACAAAATTTACCTGTATTTCTATCTCCATACCTGGATGTACCAATATATCTAGCGGTGTACTTAATTAGCAATCTTCCAGTGCAGCTACCAGTAAATGCCTTTGAAAACAAAATATTGAGATCATGCAGACTTTTCACCTCTATTTTTAACAGAAGTTCATAATTTGCAATACTATCTCTAATATACCATCCAGAGCCAGTAACCTAATTCAATTAGCCTCTCTGCTGCTCTGATTGCATCAGAAACCACTGGAGCACTACACTCTTTTTTTTATTACTGTGAAAAGACAGTTTTAAGAACAATTTCAGCCTGTCAGTTTTAACTGAGGCCAAATCTACACTGGTAAGTTGCAGTGCAATATAGTAAATCAGTCCCCAGTGCTGTAATCCTGAGGTGTCCACACTAGCAAGGCACTTTGTGAGCAATAACTAGGACTATATAATCCTGGTTAATTTGTTAACAAGTTAAATGCTCAACCAGTTAACCCCTGGATCCCAGCGGCAGCCTCCCTGGTCATGTCCCCCAGTTTTCCCCTTCCCGTGCCTCGGGATGAGCTGTTTCTTGACGCTGTCTGAACAAGCCTGCATGCTGACATTCCCCAAAATATGCCATCTCTGACCCCCATACGCGCGCACGCACTCCTTGTCACCATCTCCCCCCTTCCCCAGGACTTACTGAAAAGCAGCTGTCAATGTAGCAGGAAGACCAGGGAGCAATTGGAATGGGAAACCTTGAAACTGCTGTGACGGGTCCCCCTTCCCCCCTCATACTTTATGAAATTGACTTATGGACTCATCTGCATAATTCAAAAATGCTTTGGACAAAATACCTCATGTGATCAATTTCAGTGTCTCAATCTGCTGGATCTGTAGATCTTATTTTGGCATATGTAAAGTTAAAAATATGGGGTATGGAATGCTTTATAGTTTTAAATGTGCAAATGAAAGCCATCAAGGGTGTTTCTCTCAATGTCTGGGTGATCACCTGTAAACAGCCTCTTTTGTCCTTTGAGTCTAAGCAGTGGTTGTTGGTCTTATGAAGTCATGTGACCACCCCAACTGGTAAGGTCTGACCAGGAACTTTTCTATGGAAGGGGAGAATCTGCCACAGAATTTCTGCCTGAAAAGGAGGCTATTTAAGATTTAAAATGTTTCAGTCTTTTTGTCTTTGGCTGGCATGACACTCCCAAGAGAATGAACCAGAGGCCCCAGGGAAAAAAAGATCTTTCCTGGTTTGGAGGCTTAGGTGGAAGAAGAACAGTTTGTAATAAGTGTTAGAACTAGCTACGCAGGTTTTGTTTTATTTTAAATTTGTAATTTACTTTGCTCTACCTGTTTTCACTTGCAACCACTTAAATCCTCCTCTTTGTACATAATAATATCGATTGTATTTACTATCAAACCCGGTGTAAATAATTGTTACCTGGGGAGCAGTGTGTGCATCCCCCTTTCCATTGTTAAAGGGGGCTTACCTGAATAATTTGTTTAGGGTTCTGATCTCATTTGGAGGAGTGGTTTTCCTGGAAGCTGGGCCCAAAACTGCATTTTCCTCAGACCTGAAGAGTTTCAGTGTCTGTATTACTCCTTTGGGGTGGAGAGAGCAGTGATCTCAGCTTTGTGCCTTGGCTGCGGGAGACCAGGAGACCTGGCCCAGCAGGGCAGGGTGGTGAGAAGCCCCAGAGAGCAAGGAAGTGGTTTTGTCAGTGGTTTTGTCAGCATGCCAGGAAGCACCCCCAAGAGGTCTTCTGTGACTGCACCCTGTCACAGCTGCCTTCCCCATGTGGCATTGCAAACCCTTCCCAAAGCACCATGTGGCCAGCTGCACAGATGAATACCTACAACAGTGCACTGCTCCCTTTGGCACTGCAAAAGTTGCTAATGTGGACATGCTCCACCATCACAAGGAGCACAGTGGATACACCAGTGGTTCGTTTCTCTGCAGCGCTCTGTGAACAGCGCTGTAACTGCCAGCACAGACATAGCCCGAGTCCCTTTAAAACATCAGTTACAGAATAAAACTTCAAAATTCTTTACATCAAATTCCATTCTTGAAAAACATTAGCCACAACTCAAATACCTCACTATTAGTAACGACCTTTCATGATCACTCCTACCTGTGGTCTTTAGATAAAGTACCATAGATCAGGATCACATCTTCCTACCTGAAATGGTTTCTATTAAACTGGAGTTATTAAACTTTTTTTTTTAAGCAAAAAAGTGTAAGATGAGGTCACATTAAACTTTTAGCTGGAACCGACCTATACAGCTGTACTGTAAACATGCACATTTATGGCACTACATTATAAAAACCTTCAATACAGAACTTTAGAAGAGAGGTATTTCTAGAATCTTGACCATGTTCACAGAACTGTTTGTGGCAAGCAGATAGTTTCCATTCCTATCTGTAAAGCACTTAATACAGTGCTAGCAGTGTGCTAAGGGCTAGAATCCTTGCTCTGGGGTGGCACAGGGGAGGAGGGTGTTTAGCATGCAGGCTTCCCCAGGGAGAGGAGACAACCCCAGCTCTCTCTCTCACCACAGCAGCTTGGGGCCAGGTGAGAAGTGCCTCTATGGCCACTAGTGCGGGCACAGCCAAGCTGCACGTCCCCAGGCTGGGGCAGGTCCAGGTTCATCTGTGCACTGCACTTCCCAGCCAGCATGAGGAATGCAGCAAACTGAGCACGTTCCTGCACAAATCAGGGGAGGGCGGGTGCAAGGCTTGGGGGCAGGGGGGACGGAAAGAAGGGGTAATCCTGGATGGGGGTATGCCACCAGCCAGCCTCTTTTGCCTGTCTGGTGATTGTCTCTTCTGTTTTTATGAGAAGCAATCCCATTCCAGGCACATCCTTAGAGCCCTACAAATCCATGGATATCCAAGGCTAATTTTTCCAGATACAGATTTCTAGATATGGATGTGAATAGAAATTTTGTATCAGAGGCAGCAGTGTATGTGGTGGGAGGGGAGAGAATAGGCAGCTCTACAGGAACTGGTATGCATGGGGAGCTGTCTCCCGTCTTCCACCCCCTCAGCGCTACCGCCTCTGGTACAGTAACCGTGCATGTTAATGGAGAAACCTGGGCTTATCGATAAACTGTGTTCACATTCATATCCCTAGTATCCTGCGAATGTGGATATCCATGATGTGACAGCAGAAAGCCACAGCTCACTTTTGTGGATACAGATGCAGATACAAAACTTTATATCCACACAAGGCTCTACACAGCCCACTTTCCTGGCACAACCAATCCCTTACTTTGCTTTTAGTCATAAGAAGAAGGTGGAATTTGGTGGACCTTAGCTCTTACTGTTTAGGAAGAGTTATTGGACAGACAGAAAGACAGACACACAATCGCAAATACATAGCAGATTATTGGTAGCAGATTATTGGTGCAGTATCACTATATGGAATTTCAAGACTGAAATACTTTTCAAAGCACAAACACCAATATCTGAAGCATGTTCAGTCATGTTCATTTCATGCATTTTTATTTAACTTCTGTAAGTCATGGGATTTATTTATCTTTGCTTTCTATCATGGATATATATCATCCCCACTTTCTACTTAGGTGTTAAAAAAAATTTCCATAGAATTGTAATTTAATTAGCTCAGACACAATAAATTTAGAAAACTTTTAAATTTGTGAGAATGCTCATCTCAGTAAAGACTTATATCTGCACGTGCAGAAATCACTTTGCAGTAGCTTCCTGAATCAGAAGCTACATGGGGAATGGGCGGCTGAAATTCAGCTTTAGAATCCACATTCTAGTCTTTTTATCACTACAAGAGACAGCAAATGATTTTTCATTATATTTGGAAAAATTTAGCCATGTTTCTCAGATTAATTGAAGTATGTGGTTTGCAGGGATGCACAGTACTGAAATAAATCTTAAGACAATACTGTACTAGCCGTACCTAAGACATGGACTACGAGATTTGCTTTCAGCCTAAAAGCACAGTTAACCAACAGATTACTGTAACCTGGTTTTAGTACATTTACTTTAACAAAGCCAACAGGCGTAACATTAGACAACTGCATTGAGATTTGTATGTCTTTCATAAACCCCAAAACTTCAAGTTAGCCACCAATCTAAGAGAACTTTTCAATGTTTGAGTCCAAAGGACACAACACTAAAGGCAACAGCCTTCTATTTGTGCTGTAACCACTCTTATGTCAGTCCCAGAACTTCATATTAGGAAAGAACAAGTGGTTCTCCCCCTTCTCTTCCCCCCACAGCTTTTCTCATCAATATTTCCTCTTGGGGAAAAATTCAGAAACAAATTAATATGAAAACTGATCAAATTAGCACCCCCAAAAAAGTTCAGGAGCCAGTTATTAGTAAGTATCAGAGGGGTAGCCGTGTTAGTCTGAATCTGCAAAAGCGACGAGGAGTCCTGTGGCACCTTATAGACTAACTGAAGTGTAGGAGCATAAGCTTTCGTGGGCAAAGACCCACTTCGTCAGATGCATGACGAAGTGGGTCTTTGCCCACGAAAGCTTATGCTCCTACACTTCAGTTAGTCTATAAGGTGCCACAGGACTCCTCGTCGCTTTTGCAGTTATTAGTAAGTTTTTCTTAAACACAAGTAAGCCAAGTTCTGATTTGATGTTGGAAACCTTAAGGGATCAATCCTCACATATCTGCTCCACTGTATTGTATATACTAGGATCCATCATTGCTCCCAGGAAAGCTGCTGACAAAATTCCCAGTGAACCAAATTCTACCTATGACATCACATAATGAAATTGGATCACTAACCTCAGTGGGAACAGGCACAAAGCCCAGACTACATGCTTCCACCCTACAACAAAAAGGGAGGGGACAGCCAAATAGGACAGCAGCCCTTTCGGAGAGAGGAGGGAAAAAGCCATACACACCCACTCCTGCATCCTTTGTTATCAAGCTATTCAAAGTAACTTAAGTAATTTCTAAATCAGGCCACCGAATAAGATTTAATGGCAAGGCACAGTGATTTTTCTAAAATACATGCCATAAATATAGGGAGCCCCTTGTACAAATTAGTTCGGCAGCAATACCCTTAAGGTACTGGATAGAGAAACCACATCTGATGTCAGCTTTGGTTTTCAAAATACTGTGG